CAGCAACAACAACAACAACAACAGCGGCATGTTTCTTATCGGCAATGGCTTTACGTTCAACGTGCTTCTGATGTGAGTGTAATTATCCATGAGCAATGTATGCTCCCAGCATGTTGAGGGTTTAGGCGTTTAGGGTTTAGGGTTTGTTCGGTCTGTTCGGTGCTCCTTCCATCACTCTGCCAGTTCTCAGTATACGTACAGCTAAATGACCTATGCAACATCATCTTTATACTGTACCTGGACTTTACATACACGTTCCATGCTGACAGTCTTGATGGCTTAACTGCTTCCATATGTCTGTTCGTAGCTTCCATATGCACCATGCTGGCCACGATGCATCTTGTAGCTCGATGTCTTCTTGTACTCTGTAGCAGGTCTTGATCCTGTTCATACCGTCATTGCTCGGCAAGGGTGCTAGTTGTCATGACTGCTGCACTGCTGATGATGCTCCTACGAGTAGTGCTGTTGTTGTTAGCAGCATCGACCTGGGTATTGTTGCTGCTGGGCTAGATTAAACTGCACAAATGGGTTGAGCCTTACACTCATCTTGCCTGTACTACTCGCGATCTACAAACCCTAAACCCTAAACCCTAAAATTCAGCCATGGCTGGAGCAACAAGACACTCCCTTTGGCCTCAGCATCCGACATGTCCTCAGCCAGCCCCCAAACGCAGGATATGAGCACCACCATGGCCTTCGCGGGCCTCCTGCGAAAGTTGATGAAGGCTCAAAGCGTCATGGTCTATTAGTATTGTTCAGAATCTGTTCAAAAGCATAGTAACTTTGTTTTGAATTTGTGCTGGTGGTTGCTGTTCGGTTTCCTAGAGCCTAGCAGAAGAAAGCATGTGCAGAGTGTTAAGGGGGCTGGTTTTTACTACCACGGGGATGCAACAGATCGCAGCTAGGCCTCCAATAGTTGCGTTAATCGACTAGGTGTAAATGTGAGGGTTTCCGAAAATAGGGGACCCTAATATAGCACCCCAAATAGTAGGACCCTTATTATAAGGACCCCAAAATACGGTACCCTAATTTTTGGAAACTCCGATGTAGCGCCCTTGTGTCCGGTTTATTTTAGGAGCCTCCGTGCTGATTAACTGGAAGATGGCAAAGAGGGTCAGGGTGGGGACACTGGAGAACCGACAACAAATGGGAGTTTCAGAAAATGAGGGTACCTTGTTTTGGGGGTCCTTATAATAGGGATCCTATTAATTAGGGTACTATATTAGGGTCCCCTATTTTCGGAAACCCCCAAATCATGCCAGTCAGATGGTCAGACGGCCCAAACCAGGAGCCTTCATGTTATATGTCACGTCTTCGCATTTTGGAGACTTGTTGGGTTTAGGGTTTAGGGTTAAGGGTTTAGGGTTTAGGGTTTAGGGTTTACCCTAAGGGTCCTAAGATTTTTGGGAACCTCAGGATGTAGGGGTTCGGAGACCCCAAAGAGACCCAAGGACTCTCCCTAGGAGATTCCGGACCCTCCTCAGGAGATNNTTAGGGTAGGGTTTAGGGTTTAAGGGACACCACCGGCATCCAATAAGTAAGCGAAAGCATTCGGAGCGCAAGGGAAATGAACCGCAGACGACAAAACGAGAAACGGCACGTGACAAACACGTCCTCGAGCCAATCTTTTTTGCAGCACCACCACCCCTGGTGGGATGTTCATCATTCGTCGTAGTTTGTTTTCAACAGTTTGGCAACGCCCACGCTGCAAACCGGCAGGACATTGACAACCCAAGGAGTCAGCAACCACAAGCAGAGGTTTCTAGCTTACCACAGACTCCCTGGGTTTAACTTTGAGATCGAGGTAAACCCTAAACCCTAAACCCTAAACCGTCCCTAAACCCTAAACCCTAAACCCTAAACCCTAAACCCTAAACCGTCCCTAAACCCTAAACCCTGAACCCTAAACCCTAAACCGGTATCTAGACTAG